CCGCTGTCTTGTGCTTCTTGGTTCCACTGCCACCATTTCTCTGCTGGGGCATCTCTTGGCCAAGGAGGTCCAGTACAGGAATCTCAGGCCCAAGGATGCACTACTTCACCCCCAGCTCTTCTCTCTTGATGGCAATGAGATCCCCTCTCTGCCTCCAGAAGGCCTCACTTTAAGCCTGGCAGAGTGATAAAACTAACCAATCCCAGTATCAGAGTTATTTGCATGGTCCACCCAGTAATCCAGCGGGAGTTACAAAGACTGTGGCTAGAAAAGCCATACCAAGTAATTCACTGCACCGCACAGGGGCACCAACCACTCCATGGATGTTATGTCCATTTATTTTTATCAAATTGTGCACAAGACACACAGTGTTGACAATAATGAAAGCTATTTTAATTACTCACAGACAACAGACACCATACAATAGGAAAAGTTCCATCATGAGTGGTCCTCCTTGGTTCAAAAATCTGGGCCGGACAAAAAACTTCCACGGATGACCCTTCTCTTTTTGCAGCATGGTCAAAGCACCCTGAAGATCTCTCCTAACTTGGTTTTATATTCCAGGGGTTGTATATTTCACTACACAGAGTGCAATGCAAATTTTCTCACCTGATTACCCAAATGTGCCAGCTTGGAATTGATAGCCCAGAATTGTATCTCTTTAGCTTTGCTGCTTATTTAGACAAAATATTAGGCATCAAAAAGGGAAGTACAATGGTTTGTTCAGAAGCCCAAAGTGGGTGACTTTTGCTAACAGGGGGAAAAGAACAGGGAGTTCATTCTAGCAAGCTAGGCCATTTAAAGAACTGCCTCTTATCAAAGTGTTTTTCTATGATTTATCCTTAGTTTAAGATTGATATACTAGCTCAAGAACGTCCTTCAGGAAAGAGTAAAATAAAGCTAAAAGCCCTAAGACCAAATTTTCTGGTTTTCCTCCATAGATCTGTTGTTGTTGTGTGCCGTGGAGTCGGCCCCGACTCATAGCGACCCTTCCTTGGTTTCCCAGGCAGTATCACTACAGAAGTAGATTGCCCAACCTTCCTTCCAAGCCACAGATGTAGTAAGGCCAAAAGTAAGCAAATATTCTTTTTTTAAAAAATTTTATTGTAATTTGGATGACAGTTTGCAGAGAAAATTCATCTTCCATACAGCATTTCACACACACTTTGTCTCATGACATTGACTGTAATCTCCCATAATGCAACAGTTCTCTTCCTACTTCCTCACCATAGCTACCTCTTCCTTGCATTCTTCTCTTCCATGCACTTCTGCCCCACAAGCTGTCTCCCTGTGCATACACAGCCCTTCTATTCTCTCATGATTGATCTCTCCAAGAAGTATTTCTACTTAGTGTAAATGTTCAGCTCATATGCTGGAAGCCACAGGAGTGGGTTCAATTCCACACCTGAAGGGCAGCTAGGGGCCATAGTCCCAGGGGTTCCACCAGGCTCTATCAGACCAGCAAACCTGGTCCCTTTTTTTTTTTTTTTTTATGATTTTGAGTTTTGTTCCACATTGTTCTTCCACTCTATTCAGGATCTCCTACATAAAAAGTAAGCAAATATTCTTAAAATACTAGGAAGGAACTATAAATTCGGGGGTTGTGTGGAACAAATTGGACCAAATTCCTGCAGGTGGAACTTGGCTCTACTCCCTACTCACATCCAGTCCTGCCATGGAGCATATAGAAGTCAGAGAAACTCCAGTTTTTTGTTGTTTTTTTTAATGATCAAACACATAAAAAGGTGTTTAATCAGGAATGATTTAAAACAGATGAATGTCAGAGTTGGTTAACATCATCAAGTCATGGATACCTGAGGCATCTGCCTGTAGTCCACATAGACAATGTCTATATACAAAACCAAAACCAAGCTCACTGCAGTCAAGTCAATTGCAACTCATAGCGACCCTTCCTTGAGTTTCCAAGGTGGTATCACTACGGAAGCAGATTGCCCAACCTTCCTCCCAAGTAGTGGCTGATGGGTTTGAACTGCCAGCCTTCTGGTTAACAGTCAAATGCCTTAGGCACTATGCCAACAGAGCTCCCAATGTCTATATATGGGGTGTAGGAATCCTGCTGGCTCGGTGGTTATGTGCTTGGCTGCTAATTGAAAGCTGGTAGTTCAAACACACCAATTGCTCCAGTGGGAGAAAGATGTGGCAGTTTTCCATAAAGCCCTGAAAACTCTATGGGGCAGTTTAATCCTGTCTTATAGGGTTGCTAAAGAGCTCTGGTGGTGTAGTGCATAAGGCATTTGACTGCTAACCAGAACGCTGGTGGTTAAAACACACCAGCCAGTCTGGGGAAGGAAGACGGGGCAATCTACTTCCATAAAGATTTACCACCTCGCAAACCCAAAGGGGATTGCTATGAGTTGGAATTGACCCTATGGCAGTGAGGTTTTTTTTTAAAATAGGGTTACTATGAATCAGAAATTACTCCACAACAATGGGTAGGAGTCTGTGGGTGGTACGTAACAATTAAACCCTCACTACTGAGTTCAAACTGTTGGAATCCACTCAGAGGCACCTCAGAAGACCGTGAAAACTCTATGGAGAGGTTCTACTCTGGAGACTTGGAAGCCACTGGATAGAAAGTAACATATGCAGGGTGTGGTAGTTATGTTTGTGTGTCAACTTGGCTGGGCCTGGTTGAGTGGCTGGGCAGCTGGTGGTAGTTATTCCCCATGATGAGGCTGGCAATCAACTCCATGGTGGAATCTACCACAAGCAGTTGAGTAGCTGCCTTTGGGATGTGGTCTGCCTCCTGTATAAAGGGAGAAGCTTTGAGAATGGTCTCTAGCCTATGGCACGCTTGGACCCTGCATGTAGCCGTGTCATTGCTCAGCAGTCTGCTATGCTCGGCCAACTTTGGGACTTAAGTTAATGGCCTGCCGTGTGGTTTGGAAACATCGCGACTGTACCTTTTGACTTGTCAACCTTGGGACTTCTCAGCCTCAGCAGCCTGCAGCTGTCTGAGTGAAGAAATGCCTCTAGCTCCAGTGGGCCGGGAGCAGGAGGCAGAGCTAGACTCCAAGGTTGAGGGGCTTTCACCCAGCCCCTAGAGTCTGGCACTTTGAACTTAGACTTAAAGTCTCCAAATTGTAAGAATAAACTCCTGTTTGTTTAAGCCATCCCATTTGTGGTATATTCTTGTCAGAGTGGTACTAGGTAACCAGAACACAGGGTATTCTCAAGATCTGGTCAGGCTGTCAAATTTCTCTGTCCTGCTTTTCAATTCCGTGCAGATCCTTGTTAATTCATTCTTAAGACCTGTTCCAACAAACCTACAGCTTTCTTAATATTTAGTCGGCCACCTTATTGAACTTTCCAAACCTCCAACCTTTTAAGGGTTCCATAGGGAGCTGTGGTGGCTTCATGACTAAGGCATTTGACTGCTAACCAGAAGGCTGGCACCACTCCTCGGAGAGAAGATTGGGTGATCTACTTCTGTAGAGATACCACCTTGGAAACTCAAGGAGGAGTTGCTATGAGTTGGATCCCAAGCAATGACAGTGAGTTTGGTTTTTGGTTTTGGTAGCTTATATAAGGAGTTCCAGAGCTCTGGTGGCATACTGCCTAAGGTATCTGACTGCTAACCAGAAGGCTGATGGTTCAAACCCACCTGCCACTCCCCAGAAGGAAGGGTGGGCATCTACTTCTGTAGTAATATTTCCCCGGAAACCCACGGAGGGGTCACTATTAGTCAGACCTGATTCCATGGAGTGGGTCTGGGTTTTTTTTGGTTTTATAAGGAGCTCTGGTGGCATAGTGCTTAAGGCATTTTGACTGCTAACCAGAAGGTTAGAGGTTCAAACCCACCAGCCACTTCTCCAGGAAACGCGTCCTCAGAAAGAAGACTGGGCAATCTACTTCCATAGTGATACAACCTCAGAAACCCAAAGAGGGGTCACTATGAATCAGACCCAACTCCACCATAGTGAGTTTGGTTTTTGGTTTTGGAATCACACACTACAGGCTCTCACCCAATTTAAGGATTGCCTGTAGCCACACCCGTGTTTTGCTTAGGTATCAAAACCAAAAAATTTCTTAAGAGATTGACTTCTCAACCCTCCCAGTGGGCCTGGCCAATGCCCTTTTTCCAGGTCTCCAAAGAAAACAAAACCCAAACTCGCTGCCATTAAGTTGACTCCGACTCATAGTGACCCAAGTTGGGTTTCCGAGGCTGCAAATCTTTAGGGAAGTAGATTGTCCCATCTTCCTTCCCCTAAGCGCCTGGTGTGTTTGTACCACCCTTGGGCATTGCACTATGCACGGGCATTGCTCCTTTCTGCTCGTCCACAAGGCAGGAGTCCAGCAGCTGAATTTCTCCCAAGGGCATTTATCATTTTGCTTCGGCGCTTACTTATCAGAGATTCTGTGAACTAAATAACCTACTGTATGCAAAACCTGGCACAGAAAAAGCACTCATTAAAGTTCAATGCAAAGAATAATGCAAAGCACCACGCATAATTTGATTAGCACGGCCGGCGAGATATTTCAGGTGTTTCGCAAAACACAGTTTACAAACTGTGAAACTGAGTAACTAATTATATTTTGCTGGTTGAGGAAATGAGCCAACACAGAGGGCAAAATGTGACTTCTCTAGATTTTGAACGCGGGTTATTCGTCTGTTGGTCAATAAATAGGAGTAAAACCTCTTGTCTTTTCAGTTCACATTATTCCTATAACAAGACAATGGTTCCTGGAAATACTGGACCTTACGAGAGAAGGGATGACCCAGAAACCAACCCTATGGCTAACTGTGTGGTATTCGCCTCCCTCCCGCTCCCAAAGTTTCACCTCGGGAAAAATTTCTTGGGAGGAACGCCGTCACTTTATTAACTTAGACCGGTCTCCCCGCCAGGTTTACGTCATCACCGAGCGCGGGGTCAACAAAGGGAATTTAGGGAGGAGATACCCTCGTGACCATATAAGGTTTCTTCCCATGATCCTCTCTTCCTCTTTGCCATCTTCCGTGTTCCACTTGAGCCGCAGCCATGAAGTAAGTAGAAAAGTTCAGTCCTAATCCGCTTCCATCCTCGGATAGAGCCTTGTCCCGTAGATGTCTTCTCCCTGCCTTAGATAGCCTCCCTGGTGGGCCTTTATTTTTCGTTACAGGGTCGAGCTGTGCAGTTTCAGCGGGTACAAGATCTACCCCGGACACGGAAGGCGCTACGCCAGGACCGACGGGAAGGTATGGGGCTGCGATAGCTAAAGATTTCTTGTGTTCCACGTTGGAGAGGCAGAAGTAATTCAGTTCCGGCGGGCTTATTCCCCTTGGTTCCTGGAAGAGTTAAATGAGAGGGTTGAGAGGCCTCTAAATGAACCACGATTCAATGTAAAGGTCGGAAGAAGTTTGTATAACATTTCGGTAAAGGAAAGTAACTAAGGCTACCGAGACATGTCGCTATTTTATGAACACCAAGTCCTTCTGGAATCCCGGGAAAAGGATAGGAGCTGGTCGCCTCCCGGAGTTTGACACCCTACCCTTACCCGCCCTACGAACTTAGGTTATGTCTGCTTAGACGGAAGACAGCACCAAACTCAAAAGATCTTCGTGGTGCCGCCGAGGTACCTGCCAGTTGTGTAACACAAGCCTTTTGGTTTCTCTGGGCCTCAGTCTTAATTTCGTGAGGATTTAAGTGCAGCCTCTTTTGTTTTGTATAGTTGAGCACGTAATTACTTTGAACTTTTCACAACAGGTTTTCCAGTTTCTTAATGCAAAATGCGAGTCAGCATTCCTTTCCAAGAGGAACCCTCGGCAGATAAACTGGACTGTTCTTTACAGAAGAAAGCACAAAAAGGGACAGTCAGTAAGTAAAGTGCGCTTTGATGATGTGGGCTGTTTTTTAAGTTACTAAGTTTTCTGAGTATCAGTTGTGAACTCTGTAAAATTAAAATTAAAGGAGGTAGTATGTGAAAGTGCTTTTAAACTGTAAACATTAAGCGATGATGCTTACATTGATGATACAAAATCATATACATCTCAGGTTCAGAGTAAATTCGAGTTGAAAGGGTTTAAGGTGTTGCTGTGGGTAGGAAATGAGCAGTAGTTATGGTAACTTGACTTTGACATGCTTATTGTATTAGTCCTAACATAGAAGTAAGTGGAGTCTTTCAGCCCCCTAGTTAATTTTTAAGAATCCTGGATGTGTTTTATAGCTGCTTTTTTCGTGTTGCTTTTGAAGTGTCCTTTTAGCTGGATAAAGGTAATTTGAGAAACAAAAAGTTTGAATTGCTGGGGTAGTACGATTAGTGTCCAGAAGTCTGGAATATTTAGCAAGCATCTCCTGGGTGAAAGACAAGAGTAGATATTGTGGAGAATAGATGGCATGAGA